CCCATACCTGAAAAGGAGCACCAGATCCGGAAGTAAAATACGGCCCTTGTACTCCGACGCTCTTAACACCGTGCTCCACGACGATGCTGATAAAGCTGGTATTTTAGCTTGCCATTATTCATGCAGGAGAAGTGTAGAGAACGACACCAGCCTTTACACTCGCTTTTTATTGATTTCACCAAGACATTTGATACGGTGAACCGCGAGACATTGTGCTTGGTGTTGGGTAAGTTTGGTTGTCCGAGTAGGTTTGTGAGTTTAATTGGCTGTCTGAATAGTGGTATGCTGCCGAGGGTGCAGCTGAGTAGAGAGACCTCGGATGACTTTGCAGTTATCTCTGGTGTGAAGCAAGGCTGTGTCTTAGCTCCTGCTCTGTTTACTATTTATCTTCATGCCATGATGTCTTGTGCTTTGGATGCAGCTTGTGCTCCCTATGTTCGTGTAGAGCACCGTCTTGTTGGTGGGTTGCTGAACATCTGTCGTTTCGGTTCGAGAAATTTAGTCTTTGAGGCAACTATCAGTATGTTGCTGTTTGCTGACGACTGTGCGTTGTTTTCACACAGCGCGGATGAGTTGCAGCACATGATTAGTGCTCTGGCTTCGATAGCTGCCAAATTCGGGCTCACCATCTACGAGTTAAAGAAGAGTATGCAGTCCGCAGCGTTTACTAAGCTCAACAAATGCTTGAAGTTTAACGCCAGGCTTGTAGAAGCAACGTAAGAAATTGGAAGAAGTTGGAAAGTCCCTTAAATGACATCCTCTCGATCTGATGGAAGCTGTACAGTCCCGATTACCAGGGCTGGAGCGCCTTTGTGCACTTTACCAATCTTGTGCCGAAGAGATTCTTTTAAGCAATGCAAGCAAGAGATCTGCCCAAAAGTTGAAGACACTTGAGGCTTCTAAAAAGCTTGCATCGGACTCAACTAGGGCCAACATTTCTAATGAATCCAGAAAGATATGTATCCAACCTATCTAGTATTCCACTGAATCAGCTGCAGTTTAAAGCCTTATCTCTCAGACCGAAATTTTGCTTCAGTCAACCGATTTGCGGTCAAGCACATCTAGAAACCCAGTTTGCATTTCTAATGCACCAACTGGCTGAATTAACACCCACGTCTTCCCTCACCCGCGACTCTTAGGACCACATTGGTGCATATCTGTCAATAGTACCTACGTTATGAGATCAGATCGTCAAACACCCTGACCAAGAACCATCGAGAGGCAATCACAGAATTACGATCTAATCTTGATCTTCTTTTTAAATAAGATAAATGATCGGGATGGATGTTAATGGACATATTCGAGTTTTTGTCGCTGAATCTTACGTTATTTTGCAAGCCTCCAACAAGTTCATGCGTGAAACAGTCCAAAAAGACAGGACCGCAGAGGATGAGACAAAAATTACGAATGCTTTGAAGGAATTAAAACAGCTGCATATGATAAATGACTCTTTATTTGATCGACTAAATCCTGTCGCCTCTCAGCCTTCCCCCGTGTTTATGGTTTACCTAAAGTGCACAGGCTGCAGGGCCCCTTACGTCCTATAATTGATACATCGGCTTCCGCTGTCCACTCTGTTGCAAAATGGCTTGTCGAATTACTGGAACCAGTACGTAATGTACAATCCATACATTCTCTAAAGGATGAATTTAAATTTTTTGATCAAGTTAAAGACATGGAGGTAGACGATAAAATGATGCTACCATTTGATGTGGAATCTCTTTTCACAAGCATCCCGCTACTGGGGACCGTCAATTTGATTTGCGAATACATAAACGAAAAACAAATGAATGTACCTATTCCAGTACCGAAACTGAAGGGACTAATCTTGCGATTCACTTTTAACAGACTGTTCTTGTTTGTGTTACTAATGTGTAAGAGGATTTTAATTTCTTGTTCTTTGATGGACTCTTTTATCAGCAGATTGACGAGGTTGCCATGGGTTGGCTCTTATGACCTCTTCTCGCCGACGTCTTCCTCGTAAAGCTTGAATGTGGTCCTATTCAAACTGTTATTGCTTCACTGGATATCTACTGCAGGTATATGGATGACACGTTCTTTCTCTGTGATTCGGGCGCTGATTTAGTTGGTTTAATCGATCAACTCAACAGTGCACACCCATCATTGAAGTTCACCAAAGAAACCGAAAAAGAAGGAAAGCTGTCGCTTCTGGACGTACTACTGGTGAAACGGAAAGACGGCTCTATTGAGAGAAGCGTTTTCCGAATGGATTTGTGGGTCTCGTGTCACTGAGGTATAAACATAACTTAGTGCGCTGCATGTATTTCCGAGTCTCTAAAATCTGCAGTCTGAAGACGCTAGCAGACGAGAAAGAACGCATAGTTAAAACGCTGTTCTCAAACGGTTATTTCTCCTATTTTATCACAAAACGCTATGGTTGGTGAACGCAGTGAAAACCTGTCATCACAGTTCAAAAAAATGTATTTCCAACAGTTTCGTTTAAGGGTGACATCGCTTTCAATCTACTGAGTAGAAGGCTTTCCGCTGCAGTGACAAAAACCTACCCAAGCGCAAATCCATACGTTTTTGTTGTGCCAACTTTATTTATTACTCAGCGCCTTAAAAACAGATTACCTTTCAAGTCCGAATTGTACGTGGTATATCAATTTACTTGCACCTATGGTACTAAGTACCTTTGACATACGACCGGACGTCTATCGACACGGATAGCTGAGCACTGTCCTGGGTCCCTACTGAAAGTCGCTACCCGAAGTATCAGATGTGCCATCATTGAACATCCGGTTCAAAGTGGACACGAAATTCTGACCAATGATGCTTTCAGCGTTTTCTGCACCATGCCAAAACGATATCCTAAGGGGCTTAGGAGATGCCTCCTTAAGCCTGCGGAGTCGATAGCGATCAAGTTAACGCAACCGGAGCTTTGCAAACTGAGGATGCTATTGTCGTCTCTCACGTTTCTTTGACCGTCTGAATGATTCGGCTTTTGTGAAAACCACATTTGTAGTGGCGTTTGGTCGCTTCTGATCAAGATGTTCCTAAAGTCAGTTTCTGTTGCAATTAGCCGTTTACCGCGTATAAAACGTTCAGCCATCGCCTCATCTGGGAATTTAGGGAAGATGGGGCATGACCTCATTGGCACCTTCTGATAGAGTAACTAATATGGCATGCGGCAAATTAATTATTTTTGACTTTATCTATGCTCAGTCAGTCAGGTGTGTTAAGCACAATCATGTTCTTTGCTCTGCCTAACCCTTCCTGAGTTTCAGTTGTGACTAAGGATAGGATTGAGTCACTCTTTAGTTGTGTCTAAGTTCACATCCTTTGAATCTTTAATTAATTTGCAGAAAGCCAAGACTTGCTGGTATTTTGCGCCAAAGCGCAGCAGTTCGGTTTTTAGTGATGTAACTTCTTCCTCAAGAGCAATGATGCGATTTTGCATTTCAGGTAATAAATCAACTCTATTGTCAGAGCAGACAGCTAATGCTTCTTGTTTTTCCCTCAATTTAGCTGGGGCATTTCTCGTTTTGGTGCCATTGTCTCTGCAGACTGCCAGAGATTCCTGTTTATCCTTCCTAACTATGACATCTCGTACTTTATTAGTGTTTATCAGACATTTCAATGTTACTTCTGACAGTTAAAACTGATTGTGAATCAAGTTACTTCGTGGACGATTGTACGCAGTACAGAATCGAACACTCAGAAAGTAGCCGAACTTGATCTACTTAGTAGAAATATCATAGAAACTGGCCGTTCTAATTCTGCGTGCTGATTGTTCTTTCAGATCCCTGGGGGTTTGGTTGATCAAGTCTATCGATCCACTAACTATAAGGCGTGATCAGCAGTCACGTTGAAACAGCTCTATACACTTCGCGTCTCCGCTGTGACCGTGATACTTGTCGGCAGAGTGCGGTTAGATGTCTGTGCTGCGATCACACGACGGCGTGGTAGCTTGGTCTGTTGGTCGCCCACGGCCAGAATGCTAGTCGGCAAAGCAGATTTGCCGGAACGTTGATGTGAGTTTGTGACAGGGAAAACGTAGAGTACTCTGTAGATGCTCCCACAGTGACGAACTGGAATAGGTGAGAGCTCGTTCGAATGACGCTGAAGTGATCTATCAAGTGAGACTAAAATTGTCCCTGGCGCGTGGAATTGCGCAAGTATTTGTGAGTAGGTGTGGGTGAAACACTTCCTGAAATTGGCACTTCTGTGTAGATGTATGACGTACTGGTAGTGTTCTCGAGAAAACAGTATCACACGTTGGCGCTTTTCATTTCAAGACGAATGAATCTACATCCAGTAGTGCCCGACAGAATGCGGCTGAGAAATAGCGGAAAAATCAGGTGTACGCATGTGCACAGTTAGCACGCTTGTTCGTTCAAGGTCACCACTAAAGTGCACTCTGCGCTGTCTGGCACCAAATTGGGCAAAACCGCGAAATGGTCAGTCGATGACATGGCATAGAGGCATGAAGAAATTGACTGAGGTACTTGGTCAGGCTGGTACGTACAGTCTTTGTAGATAGGACTCCTGGATGGTCCACACCAGAAATTGCAGACTGTCAGGCATGGCGCGGTGGCGCAGTCAGATGTGTTCCTGTATTCGGTTTCTTGCATTCAGCCGTTAAATTTTCATGCCGAATAATTTTGCGCATTTCTATCCTGCTCCCATTTTCCTTGCATGTCATTTGCGTTCAACTTTATTTTCTTACTATCGTCATTTGTTATCGTTCTGGCGACGAGAGTCATGATAACTGGATCCACCGCACTTCATTGCTCGGAGCATCGCTGTTTAACTGAACCGAACAATTTCCTGGTGCTCACGTTGGCACTTTGTTCACTTAAGTTCACATGATACATAGTATTTAATTCCCTTAAATTCCCAGTTGTTATGAAAGGGCATCTCCTTGTCTCACTGACGTTTATTCTACTAGCGTCATATTCATTGCAAACACACACAATATCGGTTTTTGTCTCAGTGTTTTCTACTTTTGCGTCATCATGTCGTTTCGTTTTTTCCAGATGATTAACTTTTTAGATGGCCGTCTGTTGTCAGTCGCGCTGTCTGAAGTCGCGGGTGGCCTACACAGTCTGTGTGCTCTGAGTGGCCGTATATTTTGTGGTGGATTAGACGGCCTATTGTATTCCGTCCATGTGGCGGACTCCGAGGTTGGTCTAACTTCATTTATGTGTATTCTCAAAATTTTTTAATATGTTATTGTACGCCTACCACCGCGCGAATGGTTTTTTGGTGCATGGACGTTGCAGCTCAGCATTATTACGCACCAGCAGCAAAAACACCTTAACATTTCCTCACGAGCTGGGTTTTGTTTCCTGGTACTACTTTTTTCTACCGGATTACCCTCGCATTATCACGCCCAACTGTCATTATGTTCACATGTAGATCCGTCTTATTTTTACATGCTCCGCAAATTCGCATCTTTGCTATCGGTTGCGTGTTACCTACAATCCTATGATGGTTTTGCGCGAGCACTGCAGCGTCGATTTCTTATGTACACCGTCGACTGTTGATGGAAACCGCACTGTGCCGCGACTATATGCTATTCTCCTGCTCGTCGTCGTCCTCCTCCTCCTCCGATATTTGCGCGCATTGGCGCTTATGACAGTCGGATTGCCTCCAGCAAATGTCTCATCTCTCTCATACCTATTGAAATTGTATTTGCCTGTGAACACGTTAACACACTGAGAATACCTGGTGATTTCCATTTTGATTTCTTTTCCCCAAGACTGCTAGACCTTACTATTGGAGAATTACCGGATACGAGTGCCTCACAATTTTCTGATCTTTTTGCACATCCATCGAGTCACTGCGTTCCGATGTTGACACAGTATCGTCTAGCTTTTCTCGCTATCCCAGTGCCTTACATCCATTTTAAGCTACATATATCAAGTTGTCCAAGTTCGATCCAAGCACCAAAGTGTAGCGTGCCCTATTACCTCGCCTTAGGTTACGCCCATCCCAACTCTCTATGCACTACATTGATGTGCATTGTGCCGCACCTTTACTTTCCAGTTTTCCTGTTTATTCTCTTTTGAATTCCGTCTTTGTTGCTTGGTTTCCCCTATGTGGCTGAGCTTGATATGAGTGTTGACAAGTTGCCTATCTATCTGACACCCTCCACTTCGATTGCTGGCTCCAGAAAACTGCTAATCTTTGCTGTGGGGAGATAGGTGCACAGTCTTCGTGTCCATTCTAGGCTCAATGGGTGGTATTATCCACTGTGGGGCGGACTACAGCCCAACCATGGTCTTGTGTACGTCTGGTATGCATGGTTCGCAAATTAACTAGTCAGGAATGCTTCTTCTTGCTCCTTCTTCAATTCATAGCTTGTCTACCTTGTCGCCTTGTCCAGCGACCGCGAACAAAACGAGACGCGGAAGATGCTGAACGGACATTTGCAGTACGTGTTCAAGTCACTGCACTTGACGCAACGAGACCAGCTGCTTGAGCGAGTTACGTGGTGCAGCCACTACACACGGTCAATGGACCCCAAGTAAGTGCTGGACGACAGACGCGGATCTTGCACCTCATCTCCTCCAGTTACGTCCAGCTGTCTCCTGTAGTCAGTATAATTGAGGTAGCGGTTTTTTCGACAGGTAGACACCTTTCCAACATCCACATCAAGCGCAGCCACACGGGGATATATCAAGCAACAACCAACACCTGGAATGCCAGAAAATTAACACGCAGGCTAGTACTCGTACATACCAATTATAGCGAGGATGTGCCTCACGACCGCATTATCGGCCTGAGTTAGTAGATGGAATGGAATCAGAAGCAGCGTACTTACCGAACGCTGCGCTGATAATGCTTACCTATTCAGCTTATCCGTCGCCTTTTCCTTGTTCGCCCTTCTTGGCCACGCTACTGGTTTGCCAGACAAAGTTGGCTGAGACACGTGGATTGCATGTGCCACAGCACCATGCGCTTGACATCGATGAGAAATATTCAACCGGTACCCGTCGCTTCCGTACCCGGCGTTTCTGTTCTGCATGCAGCAACCCTTTCTCTTGCACTTTGGCAACGGCTGTCCTGATATGTTCTTGCCATTCGCGCCGACCCACTGCCTTTTATTCCTAGCATCCAAAATCAACATTCTTTCGTGATAAACACCTTGATCATGTCCATGTAACGTTGCTTCGGTAATCCCGCGTTCCTCTTTCCGCACTAAGTTGTCTACATAGCAGATGTTTGGGTATCCAGGTCGAATCCTACGGCTGATATGCCACAACCACCCCAGGTTCCGCAGCAGATTTATTGAGGCCACTGCCTACATGCCACTTCGACGGAGCAATTCCCTGTCTTCAACTTTGTTACACCAACCAGTGCGCAGAATACGAGGCAGGAACATTTGGTGAAAGCGTTCCCAGCAACGTACATCTTTTCGGTACAGCGTCAAAGTTCCATTGCCGTAAAGTAAAACGGACAGAACCACTGACCCGTACTCTGTCAGCTTCGTCTTAACAATCAGCTGGTGACTCTCCCACCTCGGACTTTCCAGCTTTCCAAATGCAGAAACCGCCTTTGGTATGCGGATACGCAACTTGCATTATATCACGCACCAAGCTCCGATGGCTTAGTCACGTGTTGCGCATTCCAGCCCTCGACGTGCGTTGTTTGGGCGCCCGGGGTCTGGATGGAAGGAGAGGTGGCCAAGCGATACCTTGGTCAAGAAGATTAAAGTCTCTCACTACGAAGTTGGCGTCGGATAGTGTTTCCCGATTGCCTGCCTGGAGACCGACGGGTGATGAACACGTTTGTTTGAATTCACTAGCCGACTTGGCGAAGAGTCGACTTCCAAAACAGCCTTCGTATGCTTTGGGCTCTCAGGCGCAGCTTTAGCACTTGGTCCGAAGAGATTGCCACTCGCCTCTTCGTCTCGATAATACGACCAATGCTGGAGTACGGCACTCCCGCGTACTGTCCCATCACCCGGGGCGAAGTAGAAAAGCTTGAGCGGGTGCAGCATGTAGCCACCAGGCTGATTCCCAACTTACGAGGTATGTCATACGAAGACCGATGTAAGAAACTAGGGTTATACACCCTATCTTATCGTCGGCTGAGGGTTGACCTCATCATGACGCACCGGATATTACATCTGGGTGATTACCCCATGTTGAGACAACTACTTCATCTGCGCACACAAAGCTGCACGCGAGGACACCGGTATAAACTTGTCGTCCCGGATTTGAAGCGGGTCGCCCATCAACTCTGTTTCGAACGCAGAGTGGTGATTGTCTGGAACGACCTGCCTCAGCATATAGTAGAAGCCAACACAGTGTCCCAATTCAAGATGCTACTAGACCAACAATTTGCAGAGGCCAAGTACAGAGAGCGAAACGATAAATAAAAAGTTCATGTCTGAAAACGACGAATGATGCAGCTACACAGAGCAACCTCTACTCGCTGCTTCCCACCAGTTCTCAGTTCTCAATCGCGTCTGTGTTGTGAGTCTCTTTGTCCTTTTCCTCTTAGCTTCTCCCTCCAAAAACGAGCACAAATGTGATATTAGCATTATCTTACTGTTTTAGCTTTTAAGTTTAAATTACATAATGTTCTGCCATTTCCGCATTGCGGCACATTAGCAGGTGTGTTTCTCGGCTGGTATGCATTGGTGATGGTGATGATGATTATGCGCAGCTCGCTCGTCATCTTGTGGTTAGTCGATAGTAGGCTCTCAAAGTAGCAAAATATCCGTCTACTCTTGGACTCCTCATAAGCAATCTGGATTTGCAGCACCTCCACCGATTCCATTCCTTTGGATGCTGAAAAAGTCAAACCGTCTTGCTTAGCTTGGTAATTAGTCACATCATGGCCGATGTCGAAGCACGAGTTTTTCTCATGCGTTATAAATCATCCTCGCTGTGCACAAACAATGTGCAGTCGTTGGCAAACAGCAACACGGGTTCTCGTCCCGAAACGATGAACGTTGTGCTACCCATTATTAATGCGGGTCTCCACATGGACGCCTTAATCACAAGCAGCATCACAAATACAAAGCCTCGATGCATTTAGCTATGTCTTAAACACAACCGGAGCTAAAACAGCCTTGCTTCATACCACACCGTGAACATCATATCTAGGATGCTGCGGCCCGAACGGTATCCGCATTTCTATTCCGCCACCCCCGGTCCAATGACCTGGGTATCGACGCTGTTGGGCAGGATTCGTGCTGCCGCTTTCCCAGCACAATTCAGTAAGTTGATGCCACGATAACTCGTGGCACATTACTTTTTCCACTTGCCCTTGCACAATAGTAGCACAAGAACATCTTTCAATTTGGATGACACACGTTCTTCAAACCACAGGCTTTGCACCAAATGGTGCAGCCCATGTTTCAACGCGTGTCCGCCGTGTTTCATCATTTCTGGCGGTATCCCACCGACTGCGGCGCACTTTCCGTTACGCAGCTGCGTCTCAACTCGTTTTGGTGTGTCTGCAAGACACATCTTCATCTCCTGCTGCTGCAACCCGTGCAACGTAGGCAAGTGGACCCCCAAACAGTTTTTAACGTGACAGTCGAAGTGATTTCATCAGATGTACAGTTTACGTAGTGTCAGAGCTTGAAGTAACATCCACGAGCGTCCTCAGTCGATGCAAGGTGGGTCCATACATTATCTTCAAGGATTCGGAGAATTCCTTGTTGGTTGTGTTCGCTGGAGCATTCCATCTCCTCCGTCTTCTCCTTGCACCTTGTGCATTCTTGATGCGACGGACCTCTCGATCCATTCACTGTCGAAGTTTGCGAAACCTACTCTACTCTACTTCGGTAGGATCATCCACGTATGTAGCGAATGCTCTATTCTTTTCCGACAAAAATGTGTCAGTGATGTCATTGTTATCATCAAACCAATCAGGTCGATTACAGTTTGCGCGCGACTGTTTTCTCGGCCGCAGCCGCCACATTTTCTCTGATGCGGTGCCACAGATCGCTCATTGAAGCGATAGGTTTTACATCGCCAAGGCGACTAGCCATCGTAATTTTTACTTCTACCCTCTTCCCGTCAGTACCTATGGAACGAACATTGTGTTTGCACCGATTTACGACAGGGGAGCAATGCATATGTTTACGAAAAAATACGTACAGTTTGGTCGGCACCAGTTTGTGATCAGTTCCATACTCAGCTTCACGCAGTACATATGTCGT